GGTGTGATTAATTTTTTTGGACTTCAGATATACGATACCGTACATGCATTTCTCAATACGGGCATTTCACAATAGTGCACCTCCAAGAGTTTGCGATGCGTTGGCCAATCACAATGCGCGAAATGGTCGACCCAATGCGTGTCTGGAAAGGGTCGACAAATTTCGCATGTTGTGATTTGCCAATGCGTTGGAAACTCTTAGAGGCGCACTATTGTGAATCCGCCGTATTAACCTGGCACAATGCCACCTTTTTTGTACCTCTTGATACATAATGTACAGCGTGTACTTTTATAATTGAATTTTTATCTCAAATATCACGTTGAAATTTATACCCAATGTAAATTCATCTACGTTGAGTGATAACTCAATTGTAATTCCGACAGGGCATTGTGAATAATTTATTATCTGACTCACTGTCACCGTGCTGATATTGCAAAATTGGACGATTGCAGTCTTTACCAAGGAAAAATGCTTCTGAAATGGCACAGTTTTATACCCATGGAAGTCAACTGGTGCACGTCAATCGTGCTTGTATTTCACTCACCCATTATGCATGTACATGTGCAATGTAATTCAATATTGCCCTAGTCTTGAAAGATATGAAAATATCACCGCATCGGCTATATTTTAAAGTTTTTATTCTCCCTTAAAACCCAACCCCCCTAAGGTGTTTGTAAAATCATATTGAGATTGGAGGATTCGGGACTGTTAAGCCTATCCCTTGTTTCCGAGGGGGGGAGGGGAGTGATAACCTTTATTCTCTCTGACGCATTCACCCTCGGTGATTCCAAACTTTGTAAGAGCCAGCACATGTACATGTAGTTGTTTCCCCGTTAGCCGTCTGTCTGCTTGTCGGGCTGTCTGTCCGTATAATCGGCGTCACTGTGCAGATCATGAAACCAAACTTTGACACAATGTGACATTTTCAGTATTTTCTGCCTGTAATTCACTGACAGTTTATGGTTGATATTGGTGTCACCACCGGAGAAAGAAAATATCCAATCAAACTCAAAGTTGCATACGAGTCAGAAAAGTGTTCAGTTTGTCAGGCAGTTTTAATACTTGTCCATGCGTTGCCCCTGTGGTTCTGTAGTTTGTAGTGAAAGAGAGGAAACACGCCGTTGCACATGGCCACTTTTTCCTTGTTGGCCCCAAAATTAACGGTACATCTCTCATTTCCTGTTTTGAATCAATTGTCTACATTTCCCTAAAATGTGCTTTGCTCTTCCCTGGGCACCACGTTCCTTACAAATATTGCTGTGAATGGGTTCTGTACTTTCCTAGGAGTTTCACTCTCTTGTCATTGCAAAGGCTGTTCCATTTATTTTTGTCTTCAGTCCAAGCTACTTCTCCCTTTCGTTAGCAAAGCACTCAGTGTACATGTAGGGTACATGTGTATATATTGAAGTTCCTTTTAGTTTTGGGGGGACGTGCGTGTGTGGAAATGATACATGTTGAAAGGAGGAAAAAAGGGAATTTAACTGTTGCAGAGATCGTGGGCACACAGTGCGTACTAGAGCTTCGCAGATGTTAAAATTACATGTACATGTGTAACGAAGCTAAAACATACAGTACAGGCACCTTGCATTTTCTTTTTCTTTTGTGTGGGCGACATAACATGAAACTGATCCATCAGACAAGCTGACTTGTAACTGTTGTACATGAAAAGAATCCACTTGTTTGGACATTCTCACACCTGGGAGGGGATTCTATCACTGTCTAGTTTAACTGACATTATTTGTTCTTCAAGTATTTAAAAGTGTACATGAAAAGGTATTCATATTGGACATACATGTATCTTCAAAAGTTTCAATGCAGTCTTGATCGAAGATTTGTTCATACATGTATACTTGCTGTGCACTCTACTGTTCTCATTGAAACGCTTTTCATTTGTGTGCATTTAGTTGAAAAGTTGCCTTTCTCGAGAGTGTTTCACCACGAACCTCATAAAAGTAGTTTGAAAGTGGGTGCAAGCCATTCTGCAGTAACAAGTCACAGAGTTTCATTGCAACTTCCCGACAAAAATGATACATGTACGATGTCTCTTTAAAACTAAACTGCCCACCTTTTAGGCTTAAAATATCCTGGATGCCAGCTCGATGCTGAAATTGTAATTCATTATCCCATGGTGACAATAATGACTTAACATACCTTACAGCAGACTGTCTTGCCCAAGTCTTGCATCACCACATTACCCAATCCTGAAGGAAAATCACAGATACTGAAGTTCGTGTACCGTAGGAATATGAGATTGACGGCTGCAATTTTGACAGTGCAAGTATGTTATTGATGTACTTCTACTCGTGTAGTACATGTACACCCACTGCACTATAGAGACATTACTGGCCCTTGGCTTGTCTCAGGGTTGCCCGTAATCATGGTAATCGTGACGGATTATCTCTGTCAGCATCATGTGAAATTGTACTGGCCCACGTCACAGATTCATATGATCCCGTCTGATTACTTCACTTGATCATCCGTCATGGGATTCTGTTGTTGACAGGCCTGCCAACATCCGTGATGTGTTGTTAGCGTCTTACTGCCTCATCCGGGAAAAACTCTAATTAGTTTTTTTTTTTCTTTTTCCCCTTTCGGAGTGTTGTTTGCAGTTGGATAACTGCCGTAGTGTTAGGACTTTATTGCCATTGGCCAAGACATCAATCTTTATTGACAGCACCCACCTTGCCAGCTGACAAGGCAAAGCCCCCCACCCTGGAAGCAATTGTGCACCAGTACTGTGGAAATTTGTTTTGTCGCATTTGAAAAATTAGTTCCTTGCTGAGAATGATTTCAGAATTGATCTGCCTTTTCACATCATCGTTCTTCTCTGCCATAAACTGTACGAAAAAAAAAAAATTAAGGAAATATTTTAAATGAGGCTTTCAGGCTTTGCTGATTTCCTGAAAGCCAAATATCACCTTCCATTGCAGGGAAAAAACCAATTCTATGTTCGTGACAAATGAAAACTGTAGAGTCAGATCTAGTCCATGATCTCTGGTTTACCAGGATGAAATAATGTCATTCTTTCATTACATTGTACATCTCTCTCTTGCCACTGAAATGTCAACATTTGTCTCTCGCCAAGCCAAAGGAAACTTATAATCTGGACCCGATTCAAAAGACACAGAGTTTGGGCAGTCCGTCAGCATCAGAACCTGGGGACACAAATTCAAGTCATGCTCGTGTGTTGTGGTGCTGCTGTGCGGATACTAAAGTTCATTTATGAGGCCACTACATCTACATGTAGTACATCTGCAATCGATGTCAGCCGGTTTCAAGACTGGCACAGAGTCTCATTGCCACAAAGCCTTCTGACTGAACCAAGAGGCTTTGTCGGTGGGGGAGAGGAGGCTTCAGGGCTGCAATGACACAGATCAGTTGGCACAGTGCTTCATAGTGTTACGTACTATACATGTACATTGTACGTACTGTACATGTACATGTACATCTCTTCAAACAGATCCAGTAGAATAGTCCAGGACAGTGTCCACAAGGCCTGGTACAATCCTGTCTGTTATCCCTGCACCAGTTGGCCCTTTCATGGACTGTAAGCCAGACTCCCCATGTATACAAAACAAACAGACCGAGATTGTTGGGAGACAATAGTGGCCTACCATCCAGGGCCATGCATGAGATGGATGTACATGTACATGTATGCCTACTACGCACATGTACATATGTACATGTATGTATGTCATCAGAATTGTTGATTCTGGGTACCGTAAGGGGAAAGTTCTATTTAAAAAGGCAGCAGAACTTCTGTGATGCCCTAAAGATAGTGAAGATTTTTTTCTACAAGTTAAAAAGTAAAGTGCACATGTGCACGTACATGTACACGTATCAGTGCATGTGAATTGGTACGTGTTTGTTGTTCTGTACTCGATCCACTCCATCTGTAATGCACATTGTTACTTGGTGCACGGTTTTCCCCACCTGTTCAACTGTGAGACGGCCCACCTCACTGATTTTAGTGCCCGCCTCCGGCTTTTCTGTTGAATTTGACCACCTCATACTCCGAATAGACTGATGGAAGGAAAAAGCAAAAGAAGTTTGATATTTTGAAATCAGTTTCAAATCATTCAGAATGGTAAAGAGGGACACTGAATACAAGATTGATTTATTTTAGAGGGGAAAGTTAGAGTAAATGTGGTTATATACGTCTACTACTGTATACATGTAGAATTAATTTTAGGCCTTTTGAAAACACCCGCTTTTGTTTTAGACACCAGAATATATCAGTACCCTGGGGGGAACCCTGACTTGGTGGACGCGTACCAGCCCAACTGTCCCAGCTGGCATTGTGATGTTGAGTACTTTTACCACTAAAAACATTTGGACTGAGTTCGGGGTTCATCTCTACAACATTTGTGCAGGATGCAGAGAGAAGACAGGAATTAAATTTGTGGTGTTCTTCAGTCAGCTTGTCTCTCTGTGTATGCTCTTGGCAGCCTAGTGCTAGATTCTGCTTACAGAGCCTGCATTAAGTGACTGGGTAATATACATGTACATGTATTATCAGTTGGCTTGTACATGCTCACTTCAGTAGAAGGTGTTCTGAAAATGATGCATTTCAGCACGTGAAAGGGGTAACTGATCATGCTCTATTTGAGCATGATCAGTATGGGTCTATCTTTGGAAAAAAAACGGGACAGGACTTGTGAAAGAACCTGCCAACATGGTCAGGGTATCGACTACAACACTGCCTTGAAATCCATTACTTGCAAATTGATATTTTTTTCACCAATACGGGTGATTCACAATAGTGCGCCTCCAAGAGTTTGCAACACGTTGGCCAGTCACAACACGTGAAATCTGTCGACCCTTTCCAAACGTGCATTGGGTCGAAAGATTTCGTGCAAGGTGATTGGCCAACGCATTACAAACTCTTGGAGGCGCACTGCTGTGAATCTCCCGAATCGCAGTACATTTTACTCCCTTCTGAAAGCTGATTAGAACCTTCAAGTCATGGCTGATGGCAATTGGTTTTTTTTCTTCCACAGTCACAACAACAGGACATCCCAGTGGATCCCACCCCCAACCTGTTGGTCCCCCAAGGGGGAGTGTCTACCCTATGGCTGGGAGGAGGCGGTGGACAAGAACGGGAAGCATTACTATATCAAGTAAGGACAGTGTTACTCTCAAGATCATATTTTTTGCTCTCCAGCAAGAGAATCCCAGAATTTTTTTTTCAATTTCCAGTCCTTGAAAGTCATGAAAGTTGAATATAAAAATGACAGAAATCACGGATAAGGCACTTAATTTTGTAAAACTAAATTATATCCCGGTTTAAACTATTGGAGGTTTGACTTGAATACCCCATAGATGCAGTTTAATGGAACAAGTTACACAGTTTTTGGTGAGCCTTTTGTGGGTCATGGGTTTTCATACACATGTACAGTAAGTTGGTCATGGAAAAAAGTTGTGGAGTGTTATTGCCAAAAGGTTGAGGAAACCTTCCAGCGTCCGACTGTGATACTCCTGTGTTGACTGGCTCAGGAGACACTGGAAGCCTGACAGTTCTAGTCAGGTTCAGCAGAGGTTAAAAATTGTGGCTTTCCCAAAACGAAACGATTCATTTGTTGCCGGTCCAGTGGCTGATTGGGTAATTTCTCTCTCTCTCGACCATTTGAAGAAATCCAACGTAGTTGCATGTATTGTAAACTGAAAAATTCACGTAGATAGTTTGGTGATGATGAAATTACTGGAGATGAAATCATAACAATTTTGGCAGTCACAGTGAGGGACACCGGGGGTTCAACAGCTCATAAAATGAAAGAATACGGAAGATTCTCTCTCCCCTGGCCTATCGTAGTCCTTCCCTCACCTGCTGTATAAGAAATGAATTCTTCTATGCATGGCTGTGCAAGGCAAATTTAATCCCAGGAGCGCAATTACGAGAAATAGGAACTTGTCCACAAATGCAAGCTCAGAGAGGTTTTTTTTTTCAAGGGTTGGGGGCAGTGCGGGAGAATGTAAATGTGAAACAAAAGGAAAAACTAATTTTCTATATTCAGCCAAACTTTTGCCACGTAGAGGAATACTCCAGTGTTGTGCCACAGAAAATAAATGTGTTGAAAACCTGCCACGTTTGGGAAAGAAAAGAGCTATGGAGATCTCTCAGGATTTTACTTCGGGAGCACAAGCACCCCAACAGACTTCCCTCTCACTACATGTACACATGTACATGTACAGTATGTACAATTGTACATGTACATGTATGTCACTGTGGCAACTTTTACCTACAGGTGCTTGATAGACTGTGGTCGACCTTCGGTACAAAATCAAAGGAATAATCCACAAAGTGTTCAGTGATCAAGTACTCTTTGAAATGTACTGCATGATGGAAATCCCCCTCCTTTAATACTCGCGGGTTCAAGCAAGTTGAACATTTTACCAACTTTGGCCGTCTTTGTACTAGTCTATGTACATGTAGGTGGTAGGCAGTAACCCTAGGCAGGTATGTGTACATGTATTCAAGGCTCTGTAAATCCACTGAACCAGGTGTCATTGCCCTGGTGAGGCGTGAGACCCACACACTCTTGGCCGAGCAGACAGGTGACCGGTCACAACCCTCTGTCCCCGTCTCTCTGTCCGATTGGCAAGACTGTAATTTCCTCCCTAGTGGATCACCAACAGGGACACCACCAAGTAACACTACCATTAGATTTCCAATTAGTGGGATGTTGATTCCTTCATTGATGTCGCACCTGCAACCTGCAGGGGTGGGACCGGGAAAGAGCAAGACAGATTCACTTGAACTTAAATATGGTGTCAAATGGTTAATCCGAAAATATTCAGTTACATGCACTGTACCACCCTTTTGGAATCTTCTGATTCAGGTGCGGTGGAGTGAGTTTCACCACCAAGGTGACAAAAAAACGGTGAATTATCGCAAGTTGGTGATAACAGTCTCCCCATGGCAACGAGTCGTGAAGTATTGTTGGAACACATTTGATCTGATGTCCTGGGGTAGTGCATTCACATTAGCCCATTGTAGAACTGTAAGGTACCGGTACATGTACATGTAGATCCGTACATGTACATGTACGTGGCTAGCAATACATGGACATCATTACCTGTATACATGTAGTAGTGTCTACCCTATACACACACCACATTTTAAACAACCTTGTTCCATGAAAGGCAAATCCAATATCCTTGTACCAGTACAATAGCTTGAAGCGCCAAAGTTAATATACCGTACATGAATGTACATTGTACATTACCCTGGAAATCTTGTTTCCAAATCATGGGTGTCTAAACGACACATTTTCACAGGAAAACTACATGTATGCACACCCCTATTTCTGTGTAATGTATTTTCAAAGACGCAAGGACCTGAATGATATTTTGTGTAGATATGTGTTCATGATGGGACGCAGTTCTTCACTACAGTGGCTGTATCGGAGAATGAGTTGACTGCATTCGCTCACCTTTTCCCTGAGCAGTGTCACTTACATGTATTCCCTGTGATTTTTTTTGTAACTTTCTAGAAAGATAATTTGAAATCTGGCCTTACAACAAGAAAAGCCGAGAAGCTCATCCCTTGGATTACTTGTTTGTTTTCACACAACTAATGACTTATTGATCACATAAGAGAAAAAAAAAACCTGTCGTAATTCGTGCGGAGAGCTGGCCATAATTTGTGGGGGAAAACTGACGGCCGTGGACATTTCCATAACAGGCTTCATGCTTCACTGAAGCACGCAGTCGTGCAATTAACGACATGCAGTGGCAATGCTGGTTTAGCGGACATGCAATGCGTGGGCCTTAGGTAGCAGCCAGTGGCTGCTTCCCCGTGTGAGCGCTTTCATAGCCAAACCTACAGGAAGGTTGGGAAGTGTGGTTGGCATAAACTGCGATGGGTTATTTGGGTGACTTGGTCCACTTTTTCGACTGGTACATTGGGCAGTGCCGGTGTTCCTTTAACTCTTTGGTCTGAGCTTGAGCATGTTTTGAATTAAGGACATCTCATCTGAATTCAGCCTCAGGGAAATGGAATTCGTATTAACTTTTGCAATGTCTGAATGTGCCCTACCTTGCCCAGTCTCAAGATATGATACGCCTTAAAGAGTGCTAAGCGGGCGGAGATGCAGGCTCATCCTTTGGAGGAACACCTTGCCCAGTCTTGAGGCATATGCCTTAAGAGTGCTAAGCGGGCAGAGATGCCTAAGCGGTGTACAGTAACCGAACAAGATCAGGGGCCAATTTCATAGAGCTGCTTAAGCACAAAATCTGTTTAAGCAAGAAAATAACCTTGCTCAAAAAACAAAGGTTACCAGCTCAAACTCTATCTGATTGTCATGCTAACCAAAAGACAGCTAAATATGATATCAAAATAATATACATCACATGGAATTTTGGCTGGTTACCTGATTTATCAAGCAAGGTTTTTTCGCACTTAAACAAATTTTGTGCTTAAGCAGCTTTATGAAATTGGCCCGTGGCAGGTATGGTGCTACCTTCCCCTCCTGAAAACTCCCTCTCAGTGATGTTGACAAAGAGAGATTGCCTTCTCTCGTTTCCTTCTGAAACATGCAGGAAGGGAACAAAAAAAGAGTGAGAGTAATAGTACAGACGTGCACGGACCAGAAATGGGCAGGGAAGTACAGTCCATGTACATGAACAACATTCACCATTTACCTGCGGGCTGAAATCCAGTTCTGGAGACAGATTCCCTTTCTGAGGCTTGGAAGTCGTGCGGCAGTTTAGTCAATCATGCGTCCATTACTGCTCAAATCACAAGCCAGGTTTATGAGTAACATCGGGATGAACTGTGACAAGGGACCACTTTGGGAAGTTATTTGTAGCTTGATGCTGGATGACTCAGTATCGGCCTTAAGAATCTGACTCCGATTGTGCTTGTGGGTACTAAAGTGCAGGGTAATCAGAAGGGATGCCATGACTGCAGTGGTACCACACCAACCCTTACGTCGCACACAGTCTTGAAGTTCACGTACAGTAAGTTTGCATTTTGGGCAAACCGCAAGGCCGTAAAAGAGACATTTAACATGGCATATATGGGTTTGAACATATCACTCATCTGGTGGCTGAATGCCAGTTGAATAAATATGGACCAGTCGGGTCCTTGTTGAAGAAGTCCAGTGACTTGTATATGTTCCACGAATCAGCATCACTTGCCCGTTAACCCTGACCTGCCCAAATCCTCCAAAAATCGTTAAAGAGGTTTTGGAGAACTTCGGGGGATGGAAGTTGTGTTCATTTTTATGTGGAGTCATTTGAGGACTTTGCAGGATTCAAGTTGCATCCTGCCAAAGAATATTACCTTAGGAATGGTCAAAGAAATATCCGGGCCAAAGAGGTAATTGAAGAAAAACTGTGCGAAAGTGTGCTGGCATTTTATTTTTCCCAATATCACAAATAAGCTTTCTAACACACACACTTGTGAAGGAACATGCAGCAGGCCATACTCTAGTCCACAGGTTCCAAACACCTACAGTACATGTAAGAGGGTGCATGTAATTGCAAAAACTGCACTGGAAGTACGGGGAGTCTTTAACATTGGACTCCCATTTACTGCACATGGATAGGTCGTACCACGGCAGTAATGGCTTTCTATGAAATCAAATTCAAGAAAATTGACAGTGTGGTCTGAGTATAGATTACAGTCTGGCTATCGAGTATTTTGATTTCAACTGTTGAGTATTCGAACAAAAGGTATCTGAAACTACCTGGGTGTAAATTTGCAGGACGTGGACGTACAGGAGTCAAAGTCTTGATTCCTCTGTCAAATGTTGGCACTGTAGCTTGCATACCCCTGGCACCTGTGTGGCCAACCACTTGTATTCTAATCATTCAATGCTCTCTGTCAACACAGCCTAGGTAGACAGGATTCTTACAGTACTGCCTTACATGTACGCTGGATCTCGGTGTCCCTTCAGGGAGTCTCAGGCTCGTACATGTACCTTATAATTAGGACAGTAACCATGGAATGGAGTGCGGTACATTGCAACATTCACTGATCACCAAAGTCAATCCGACATCTAGAGTTTTATAATCAAGTCAGTGGTTATGAAGGGTCGCCATGGGGTACATATCTGATCCAGACTTGGATTTGTGCCGTGTGATGGGCCATAGAGGATCCAATTTTTTTTTCTTA